TTAGTCTTTAATTGGCAAGATGAGCCAGAGCAAGCGCTTGTAGCTGTGGGGGGAGCACACCCAAAGGGCAGCCTGTACCCAGGAACAAAGTTCACAAGAGTTGGAAGAAAGGAGGGGTGGCCACAGGGAGGAACCCTGTACCCCAACTCTGACCAGCCGCTCCTGAGACCAGGGGTTTCCCAGCTCCAGTCTGTGGGCATTCTGGCCTATACTTACTGCCCTGTCCTGCCCTGCCCCCAGGAACTTAAGTGCCGGGACTACACAGTCCCTCTCAGTAAGACCGTCTTTTGTCCCTGGCATTCCAACCTACCGTTCTGAGCTCGGGTTAGCTACCTGCCATCTCCCCCTTTCAAGCCCCTGGTGTTCAGGACCACTTCAGAGGCAGCTGGGCAGCGCTGCCTTTGGGCCTGGAGTCTGGCCCTGGCCGCCCCCATAGTCGCTTTCAAGGTAGGTCTTGAAAGCTTGGCTTTCATGTGCGATGTGGCTTACACTCAAGTTAAAAGGGAGTCGGTTCCAGTTTTCAAAAAGAATTTAAAATGCTTTTCGCTGTTGTTGTTCACAGCAAAGCAGCGACTGGCGCATGACCGTGTGACAGGCCGCAGGACATCACACCTGCTCTGGCCCACCTGTTCCTCCTCCAAATAGCACAGGACATGTAGATGAAATGTGTGTCCTAGCTAGCCTGTGGCATGCATGACAAAGGCACGCAGCGGTTACTCCGTTGACTATGCCCCCTTGGTAGACGGCTGCTCAGGGAAGACAACCGCATTCTTCTCCACTCCCGATTCACTAAAATTAGCCTTGGTCACGCAGGAGGCTGTCTGGGCCAGGCTAGCTTTTAAGGATATTGATCGTGGACTTAAACGTTTCAAGAATTGATCCCTTCTGCATCTAGCTGGATGAATGTGTCGTGGGAGCAAAGCACGATGAAGCCTAGAAGAAAAAAATGTCGGGCTTGAGAGGCAAACTTAGGCGGTCAATTCTGGAAAATCACTAGCTTTTCTTTCTGCTTCCTTCAATGACTGCAGAGCCCGTGACAGAAAGGAAAAGGGCTTCACATACCACAGGTGAATGGCTCAGAGCTATCTTTTGTTTAAGTTAGAGATACTCATCTATTGCGTCAATCTCAAAGAGGAAATCCCTAAGACAAGAAACATTGAATCAAAGTCTTCATGGCCCTACTTTCTTCCCTTTTAGAGAGCCCTGGTAGTAAGGTGGGGTAAGTGTTGGGATGTTCCCAGCAAGGGCAGAGGTTCAAGCCCACCAGCCAATCCACAGGAGAAAGATGAAGTTGTCTACTTCCTTAAAGGAAGCCTTAGAAACCCAACCTATGGGGTCTTAGATTTGGAACTGACTTGCTGGGTGAGCAGAGCGTCTGACTGGTCTGGTGTGTTTCCCCTTTAAAGCAAAATAGCACCCCAGTGGGGCCAAGTCACCACATCTCCTGTATCCCTCTTATGGATGCCACTACCTCACGACAGACGTCACAGTCCTTCAGAGACGCTTCACCCGGCACTCCCAAGCTCCTGCTCTTGAAGGACAATGAAAGTATGACCACCGGCTCACTGGTAGAGGCGAACACAGCCCATGGGCAACCAAAGGTCCTATCTGGCCAGAGCTCTGGTGGGTCTCCATCTTTCTTTTAGAGTCCACGGGATTCTCTAGCTTCACAGGGTGGCCAACAGACATCTGGGTCTCGAGATGTAAGAATCCGCATTGTGTGCCCGCTCCCCATGAGTAGTGAGGTTTGTGAAACCCTGGCCCACATCAGACGAACTTCTTCACCCAAAGTCAGCCGTACGTTTTATTAGTAGAGAATAGATAAAGCAAGCCTAGGCTTTATTCCTAATGGCAAGTCAAAATCCTCAGACTTCATGCAGCCACTTGCCTCCAGGAGCTCAAAGATACCCAATCACAGGAGGCGAGGGTGCCAGAAACATGCACCTCTGGCCTGGCGGCTCTCAAACTGACCACCACAACCTCAACACGGAAGTCCCATACGGGCGCCACGGGCTATACCGCACCTTGCCATCGTCCTCGCCATACTCATCACTGCTGTTATCAGCCATGGTCTTGTCAAGAAGCCGGGCAGAATGAGGAGGTCCTTAAGAGAAAACAGTTCCCTTGAAGGTTATTGCTGAAATGGTTTTGAAGACAAGTGTTTTCACTTATGACCTTTATGCTCTGTTTGATACGGAAACGAGATTATGGGAACATCTCACTGAAAGGCAAGAGACAATAAATTCTAGCCATGGTGCTGTCAGTTTGATTCAAGATACATACCTGTACCCTCACCACCGATTTGGATCACTTGTTGTTCCCTTGTCCCTGGGTTTGTTAACACCACTACCTTTCCCCCACCTCCCCGTCTCCCATGTCCTCCCGGAACCGTTGGTCCCGTTGTTTTCTCCTCCAGATTTTTCATCCAGCCTACCTTATTTAGACAGACCCGTGGAGATAATAACATGCACAAAACAAGACAGAGCAAAACCAAGCAACAAAATAAAACAAAACAACAACCAATAACAAAACAAAAAAAACAAAACACAAGGAAGAAAAGCTTGTAGT